GACCTCGGGTGGTATGGGCGTATTGAGTTCATCGTTGAAGTTATTGTGAACACGGTCTTCGGCGTGAGGATCGTAGACGGTAGAAACTGACGTCATACATTTAATAACTTCTTTCGCTTGTGTCTTGACAGGTGTAGCAGGCGGCTTCGCAGAGTTCGGCTTCGCAGTGTTCGGCTTCGCAGCTTCCGGCTTCTCAGCTTCCGGCTTCTCAGCTTCACCTGAAGAATCTTTGGTGTGTTTCGATGCAGACCGCTTCCAAGATGGTTTATCCTTCGACCAGCAGGTATCGATAGTATGACCTGTTTTACGGCAAAAAGAACAAACGGGCTTGTGACGTGGAGTAGAATAAAAACTGACTGTGTTATTAACCACCATTTTTCCTCCTCGGGCGTTGTGCAGGTCCATATCCTGCTGCTCGGCGATGAGAGCGGCACAGAGTGCCCCCTCAGACAACGTTGCTTGCATCCGAAGAATAGAGCAACACTGCCGCCATTCTGGTCCTAGACCCGCGAGTAGCACCGTGTGAAACATAGCGTCGGGGAAGTATCCTCCGCACTTCTGAAGCTGGTCGCGCAGATTTCGAGCGCGGTTGATATATTGCGCCACCTTCTCGCCGTTTATCATCTGTATATTTGACAGCTGCGTTAAGATTTTACTCTGGTTGACAGTGTCCTTTGCCATGTAAACCCCTTGCAGGTATAACCAAGCTGCTTCATCGGGAGCGGTACTGTTACGAAAAGGACGAATACCAAGCTGTTCAGTCGGTGTCATATTGCGAATGAGAACTGTGTATGCAGTCAGTGACGCCGATCGAAAAGTGGCTTGTTGAAGTGGTGAGCCGTGAGATGGAAAGGGTGCTGTACCGTCGAACAATTGCCAGAATCCCGCAGTTTGAACAAGAAGCTCGAATTCGAAACTCCAGGTATAAAAGTCTTGACCATTAAATGGCATTGTCGTTTTAATCTTTGTTGGGTTTGCAGTAGTAGGAAGATAGTTTCCGGTGCCGTCGGCTGACTGTAATTGATAAAGTGATGGCATCTGTGATCCTTGTGATGCTTGTTGTCCTTGTCCACCAGGAACAAAGGAGAAGGAGTTGTTTGACCCGTCGCTCCCTTGTGGCAACTGTCCATGCTGATAACTGGAGCCATCAAGGCTCATAGGAGTTGGAAACATCTGGTTAAGTGACAAGACGGCAGTATTGTCACGCTGTTGAAGATTTGTTGGCTGGTAAGCCCCTTGATATTGATATGGTCCAGTCGGTACGAAACTAGACTGTTGTCCTGGTTGACTAGTAGAACCAATTACTGTAGCTGCAGCTGTTGTTGCTGCTGATGCTGCTGTTGTTGCGGCTGCTGCCGCTGATGCCGCTGTTGCAGATGTGTGTACGGACTGATTGCTCAGTGGCATGCCGTACATCGGTTGTTGCTGATATTGTTGTTGCTGATGTTGTTGTTGCTTCAGATAAGAATTGTGAGCAGGTGGAGACGCTGTTGGGCGTGTTGGGCTCGTAACGGAAGAGCCGTTGTTGGATCGTGGAGAGCCAGACATAGTTTGCAGAGTATGTAGTTGGAAGCTTGTAGAATCCTAAGACGCTCGCAATATCATGTTAGAATTTGAAATGACTGAATAGGATCGTATACTTAGGATGGTAGCTTCCTGTCGTAGCGGAAGTTTTGCATGAGTTAAAGCCAATGTAGGAGGCTTCTCTGAGCTTAATATGCAAAGCTCATGTAGTGTTATGTTTCAGGATCTATGTCTCTGAAATCAGATATATTAAAAGATGACAAGCATACAGAATATATAGCTAGAGTAAAGTACCTTTTCGCCTATTGTACTGTGCTATTCTCGCTACTCCTATTCTGAAACGGTACGTAACTATTCGCGAGGCCTATAGTTACTTGCTGACGTCATCCTAGGGCGCGTAGTGCTTTGCTGACGTCAGCCTATCGGTACTTTACTGTACTACACGAATTTCCTTGAAGTGCTTAAGTCTTGATATTATCTCAACAAGGGTGTCTTATAAGTCTTATAAATGGGAAAAAATATAAGTAATCTGTAACATTTGCAAAGTGTGTAGAAACCACCCAGGGACCAGATTCATTGAAACAGGACGACCTCGGTGGTGATGCATGCAGCGCCCCCACTTGCCACGTGAGGGATGCAGCAGAGCTGCCACTGCTGGCAACATCCCTCCGTGCTGGCATTAGATGCTGCCAGCGTCGTTTTGCTGCCAGCAGCGCATGGATGCTTCCAGAACGCTGCTGGCAACACGATGGCAGCGTGAGGGCTGTCCTCTACGAGGAGATTCCTCGTAGAGGAGCGGCTCGGCACCTTTGGAAGGGACACTCTGGCTGGGGGGGGGGGTAGTCGGGCAGAGTCCTTAGCGCACTCTGCAAAGGGAACACACGCCACGGCAGGAGGGGATGGTTAGAAACAAAGGGCAAGGAACATGCAGTCAAGCATCAAGGAATTGTTGGTGCGAACGAACTGTTGGTGCGAGTCGTTCTAGAAGTTCATGCGCATCAACAGGGCGCAGCACAACCTCGACCTGGCCCACATCATCAACGCGGACCAGACGCCACTCTTCGTTGAGATGCCGGCCGAGAGGATGATCCAGCACCGTGGCGCGCGCTCAGTCCCAATCCGCACTGCAGGATACAAGAAGACGCGGCTCACGGTGATGCTCGCGTGCACCGCCCGTGGGTTTGGTTCAAGCTGAAGAACGTGCCAAACTGTGAGATTCCAGAAGGTAAGCTCAAGGAATTTGGGAGCCGTAAGCCTGATGAGCTTGCCCTCCTTGTCAGAATGTTATAATGCTTACAGTTGTGTAGGCTATAGTGGGGTAGCCCATAAAGGGTACAACCCAATTAGGGTTAGTACTTGTACCCAGCTCTTTCATAGTTCATTCATTCTTGTTCGTTATTCAGACATGGTTTCAGAGCAGGTCCTTCGTTAGGACCGATTTTTTTTTAGCCCACCACAGCGCTGCCCCACTAGCCGCCCCTAGCGACCCTCGTGCCGCACCTACTGCCCAGCGCGCCGCCCTCGTGCGGCCTGCCCGTCGACCATAGTCCCGTCGCCAATAGGCCCGTCGCAGCGCTGCCCCACTAGTCGCCCCTAGCCCCGACCCGTCGCCAATAGGCCCGTCGCCCCGGCCCGTCGCCCGTCGCCCTGGCCCGTCGACCGTAGGCCCGTCGCCCCTAGCCCCAGCCCATCGCCCCTAGGCCCGTCGCCCCGGCCCGTCACCCCTACGCCCCTAGCCCCGGCCCGTCGCCCCTAGGCCCGTCACCCCGGCCCGTCGCCCGTCGCCCCGGCCCGTCGACCGTAGGCCCATCGACCGTAGGCCCGTCGCCCCTAGCCCCGGCCCGTCGCCCCTAGGCCTGTTGCCCCGGCCCGTCGCCCCTACGCCCGTAGCCCCGGCTCGTCGCCCCTAGGCACGTCGCCCCGGCCCGTCGCCCGTCGCCCCGGCCCGTCGACCGTAGGCCCGTCGCCCCTAGCCCCGGCCCATCGCCCCTAGGCCCATCGCCCCGGCCCGTCGCCCCTACGCCCGTCGCCCCGGCCCGTTGCCCCTAGGCCCGTCGCCTCTAGGCCCGTCGCCTCTAGGCCCGTCGCCCCGGCCCGTCGCCCCTAGGACCGTTGCCCCGGCCCGTCGCCCCTAGCCCCTAGGCCCGTCACCCGTCGCCCCCCCCTCGGCCCCGGCCCGTCGCCCCTAACCTAGGCCCGTCGCCCATCGCCCCCCTAGGCCCCGGCCCGTCCCCCCTAGCCCTGGCCCGTCGCCCGTCGCCCCTAGGCACCGGCCCGTCGCCCGTCGCCCCTAGGCCCCGGCCAGCCCGTCGACCCCAGGCCCCGATCGCCGCCGCATGCGGCCCGCCCCTTCGCCCCTGCAGCCCGTGAGCCGCCCTTGCAGCCCCGCGCGCCGCCCCTGGTGGCCCCCTAGCCGCCTCTGCTGCCCTGCTAGCCACCCCTCGGCCCTCGAGCCGCCTCTCTTGCAGCCTGCTTGCCGTCCCTCTCTGCTGCCTGCCCTGTTCCCTGCGCTGCCGGCCTCTGCCCGCCCTGCGTGCTGCGCCGCTATGGCTCACTGTCAGGTCTTCACCTCCCCTCGTTCTCTACGAACTTGATGAGTACAGCTGCCCTCCAGGATGCGATGGTCACTACCACCACTTCTGGGGGTCAGCGTGAGTCGATCTGCACGTGTACACGGACGGACCGTCATCTGGCCACGTTCACTCGTCGGCCAGGGTCGAGTCTGTAGTCACTGGCTACCAAGCCTCCTCAGGTAGCTGCTGTTAGAATACTAGCGTGAGTTAGGAGCCATGGCTAGTGAGTGTCGAGAGAATTGAGTGTCGAGAGAATTGGAAAGGAGAATGAGGTGTTTCACTATAGAAAGTTGGGATACAAATAGCAAACCTAAATTGGGTTGTATTCACTACAGAGTACCCCACTGCAGGCTAAACAGCAAATACATTCTGACACACCCCCATAGTCAAAGTGGAGTATAATCAGCAGAGCAAGAAGTCATAGAGCAGGTTCACAAGTACAAGCAAAGCTCGAGGCATTCACAAAGGGCAAGTGAGGAGGAGGAGGCTGGACTGTGAGAGGAGAGGAGATAGGAGGCGACGGCTGATGCTGCAGACACACGGGCAACAGGAGCGGCGCGCACTGTGGCTACCGGGGCCGTATCCCCGGACTACAGGAGTAACTGGCTCTGCGGCTAACTCTGAGCGGCAGGAGCAACGGACCCACAGGCGACAGGCGCAGCAGGCTCTCTGAGCTACCAGAAGCAGAGCCCCGGACTACAGGTGCTGCGGACTACAAGACGGCAGCCTCCACTCAACCTCCCCCAACTGTCCCACCCCCCTTACACACACCCCTTGCTGCACCCCTAGCTCCACTCCCACGTCACCCCCCTAACACCACTCCCTCGGCTCCCACACTCCCACCCCCCCTCAGCGGCAGCTGCAGCAGTGGGAGACGGAGGAGGAGGAGGATCAGGGGGCGGTTCACACACCCGCCACCCCCATACCCTCCCCCCACTGCTGCACCTGCAGCAGGGGATGGAGGAGAAGGGGGGGGGGGGGGGGGGGGGGGGGGGGGGGGGGGGGGCTGTGCATGGCGCGTGCAGAGGGCAGCAGGGCGCACGGGGCGCACAGGGCAGCAGGGCAGCAGGGCGCGCGGGGCGCACAGGGCTGCAGGGCGCGCGGGGCGCACAGGGCAGCAGGGCAGCAGGGCGCACAGGGCTGCAGGGCAGCAGGGCGCGCGGGGCAAACAGGGCAGCAGGGCGCACAGGGCTGCAGGGCAGCAGGGCGCGCGGGGCGCGCAGGGCTGCAGGGCGCACGGGGCGCAGCAGGGCTGCAGGGCGCGCGGGGCGCGCAGGGCAGCAGCAAGGGCTGTAGTGGCAACAGCAAGGGCTGTAGCGGCAGCAGCAGGGCAGCAGGGCGCACAGGGCTGCAGGGCAGCAGGGCGCGCGGGGCACACAGGGCTGCAGGGCGCGCATGGCGCGCAGGGCAGCAGGACAGCAGGGCGCGAGGGGCAAACAGGGCAGTAGGGCGCGCGGGGCGCGCAAGGCTGCAGTGCGCGCAGGGCGACAGGACAGCAGGGCGCGCAGGGCGCGCAGGGCTGCAGGGCAGCACAGGGCTGCAGATCCCCTCCCCCCCACCGCTGCACCCGCAGCAGGGGGATGGAGGAGAAGTGGGGGGGGGGGGGGGCTCGGGGAGGGGGGGGGGGGGGCTGATGCTGCAACTCCCCTCCCCCCACTGCTGCTGCAGATCCCCTCCCCCCCACTTCTGCACCCGCAGCAGGGGTGGAGGAGAAAGGGGGGGGGGGGCGGGGGGGGGGCTGGTGCTGCAGATCCCCTCCTGCCTCCCTCTGAACCTCCAAGCTCCCCCCCCCTCCCAACACAGGGTGCGGCAGGGAGAGAGAGAGGAGAAAAGGGCGGGGGGGGGGGGGGGGGGGCTGATGCTGCAAATCCCCTCCCCCACTGCTGCTGCAGATCCCCTCCCCCCCACTGCTGCACCCGCAGCAGGGGTGGAGGAGAAAGGGGGGGGGGGGGGCGGGGGGGGGGCTGGTGCTGCAGATCCCCTCCTGCCTCCCTCTGAACCTCCAAGCTCCCCCCCCCCTCCAACACAGGGTGCGGCAGGGAGAGAGAGAGGAGAAAAGGGCGGGGGGGGGGGGGGGGGGGGGGGGGGCGGTGCAGGAGCCGCTCGGGCGACAGCAGGACGCGCCACACCCGCCACCCCCATACCCTCCCCCCACTGCTGCACCCGCAGCAGAGAGATGGAGGAGAAGGGGGGAGAACAAGAGGTCACAAGACCAGTCAAGAAAAGCAAAGCAAGCTCAGGGTGGATCACAAAGTCACCACACAGTCTGAGCACAAGCAAAGGGCCATAAGGCCAGTTCACATGCAGAGTTATATAAAGGAAAGCAAACAGTACAGTGAACACAACCTAGCAAGTGTAAGCATGCAGGTATAAGTATATAGAGTACAGTACAAGCAGAGTCAAGAAGTCAACAAGTGAGGCACAGTAGGTACAAGGCCTAACACAGTACAGAAACGCTGATGATCACAAGGCTGAAGTGCCTTGGTGAAAACATCAGCAGTGTTGGCCTGAGAGGCCACGTAAGCAAGACGAAGCTGGCCACGCTGCTGCAACTCTCGAGCAAGGAAGTAGCGCAGAGCAATGTGCTTCGTTCTGTGCTCCAGTCTGTGCTCCTGACACAAGGCCAGCATGGCCTTGTTGTCGACGTACAGAACTGGAGGAGAACGAGGCGCCTCTCCCAAGTCGGTCAGCAGGTAGGTGAGCCAGCGAAGCTCCTGTGCAGCCATGGCCCCAGCGTAGATCTCAGCCTCACAACTGGAGCTGAGAACAGAAGAAGAGCGGGTAGACCGCCAGGAGACAGAACCGGAGCCAAGGCTGAAGGTGTAACCCTGTGACGACCGCTGCGTAGCCAAGTCGTCAACCCAGGAGGCGTCAGCGTGACTAGTGAGGACAACTCGAGCCCGTCCTCCAAGCACGAGCCCCATGCCCGATGTACTGCACAAGTATCGCAACACCCTCTTCGCAGCATCCCAGTGCACCTTTCGGTGCCTGCCGGGAGCCACGTAGCGAGCCAGAAGGCTGAGAGGGTATGCGAGGTCAGGTCGTGTGCAAGTCATCAGGTACATGAGGCAGCCCACAAGCTCTGGATACGGGCCACTCGGCTCTATGGACTCGTCCGAAGGTGGAGCTGAGAGCGAGTGACCGGTAGGCAGAGGAGTGGACTGTGGCGAGGAGTAGGTGAAGCCGAAGCGCAGGACCTGCTGCACCATGTGTGACTGAGTCAAGGTAATGGTGCGCTGCGCTCTGTCCCGGGTGATCCGCAAGCCAAGATAGCTTGTCAGCTCACCCAGGTCTGTGCACGTGTGTCTCTTCTGCAGCTCGGACTTCACGTGGGCGAGTGCCTCCGTGTCAGCAGTAGCAAAGACAAGGTCGTCTACGTACACAAGAACGTAGAACGGCGGCAGAGTAGCGTCAGTGCGTAGAAACAGAGAAGGGTCAGTAGTGGAAGGAGCAAAACCAAGAGCAGCAAGAGTCGTCCTGAGCCTGTCGTGCCACTCACGGGGCGCCTGGCGGAGACCGTAGACTGGCCGCCGGAGGCTCCACTGGGTACCAGCAGGAAACGACCCAGTGAAGCCAGGTGGGCGGCGCAGCCAGATCTCCTCGTGCAGGCTGCCCTGTAGGAAGGCTGTGCTGAAGTCAAGCGAGTGAAGCTCGTAGTCACGCTGAGCAGCAACGTGCAGCAGTACCCGAAGAGTGGTCATCTTCGGGGTAGGGGAGAAGGTCTGAAAGAAGTCAACTCCCTGTCGCTGACTGAAGCCACGTGCAACGTAACGCGCCTTGAAGGCAGGCGGAGAACCCGGCGGCCGCTTCACCCTGAAGATCCACATGCCACTGACGATGTTCGCCCCATGTGGGGGAACCTCGTCTACGTAGGTGCCTGTGGACTTCCAGGAAGCCATCTCTGCGTCCATGGCTGCCTGCCACTAAGAGGAGTAGGGACCCTCTATCGCCTCTGCGTAAGAGCGCGGGGTCGGGATGTCTAGTGCATCCGGGTCTCCCTCAGGGGCAAGCAGCATGGACACGAGATGAGGTGAAGCAGCGGCAAAGCACTCAAGGTCCTCCTGTCTGTCCTCAAGGACGTCCGTGCCAAGAGCACACTCACCCCCGACGGACGGAGGACAGACAGACGCAGACTCAGCAACAAGGCTAGTGGCGTAGTCTAGGCGACAGGCTGCAGCAAAGTCAACAAGCTCAGCAACAAGAGCAGACGCAGCAGAGGACTCAAACAGAGGGTCAGTGACAGCAGTGGCCAGAAAGCGCGTGACAGTAGGACTAGCAGCACGAAGGGAGTCAGACTCCGGGTCCGGACCGTCAAGAAGAGAGGACGCAGGAGGAGAGGGCAGAGGGACACGCTGTGAAGCAGTAGAAGGACGCAGTGTCATAGAGTGAGTGCCTGGGACAGGAGGAAGACGCGGACGCGAAACACGACCAGCGCGAACAGTGCGGACAGGAGACACAGAACGAGACGCAGGCGACACAGGACGAGACTCAGGCTCACGACGCTCCGTAAGACCTCTAGTCGGACCAGAGTAAGGAGAAGGACCAGGCAGGGGAGAGGCCGGCTGCAACTGCGACTGAGACTGGACAGGCGGTGGACTCAGGAAAGGAGGAGGAGGACCAGGAGAAGGCGGGGAGCCAAGAACCTGCTGAAGGAGCGGAACGTAGTACGGCCGCGGCTGCGCAGCGCCTCCAGAAACAGCAGTGACAGAACCGGTACCCTCACCCCCAGGGTCTCCAGTCCCAGCAGCACCTCCAGCAGCTCCAGCACCAGCACCACCTCCAGCAGCTCCAGCACCAGCACCACCTCCAGCAGCGCCAGCACCTCCAGTAGCTCCAGTAGCACCTCCAGCACCTCCAGCACCAGCAGCACCTCCAGCAGCGCCAGCAGCACCTCCAGCACCTCCAGCAGCTCCAGCACCAGCAGCACCTCCAGTAGCTCCAGCACCAGCACCACCTCCAGCAGCGCCAGCACCTCCAGTAGCTCCAGTAGCACCTCCAGCAGCTCCAGCACCAGCAGCACCTCGACAGCGCCGAGAGTACCACTCACGAAGCCGCTGTGGAGAGAGGGGCTCCCGCCGCGACGGGACACCTAGAGCACCTCCAGACTCAGCACACGCAGGCTCAGCACCTCCAGACGCAGTACCCTCAGGCGCCACACCCCCAGGCTCAGCACCCCCAGTCTCAGCACCCCCAGTCTCAGCACCCCCAGGCCCCGCACCCGCAGGGTAAGCACCACTAGCAGCACCTGAGTCGACAGCTACCTTGACCGGCACGGCAGGGTCTACCTGGGACACACCTGAGGGGGCAGGACCCTGGGGGGGGAGGGGGTCTACCAGGGGAGTACCTGGTGCGAGGAAGAGCGGCGGGGGGGGGGAAGAGGCAGTGCGGTAGGGAAAGAGACGGTAGTACGACACCGACTCGTCGAACGTGACGTCCTGAGAGGACAGAACACGACGCGAGGTGGGGTGGTAGAACTGCCACCCGGGTGCGTCAGGAGGGAAGCCAAGGAAGACACAGGGAACGGCACGGGAGGACAGCTTGTCCGCGGTAGTATCGCGGACAAAAGCTCGAGATCCCCAGACACGAAATGCGGACGCATCGCCAACCTTCCCCGTCCACCGCAGAGTACGTGTGGTCTTCGGCAAGGAGACACGAGGCTGAAGGTTGATCTGATGCGCCGCGTACTGAACCGCGAACGGCCACAGAAAATGGGGAGCAGCCGCATGGATCATGGACGTACGAGCGACGTCCATGACCATGCCAATGCGGCGCTCAGCAATCCCATTTTTCTGCGGGGAGTCCGGAAGCGTGAACGTCTGGCGGATGCCCTCCGAACGACAGAAGGCTCTCAGGAGGTCGGAGGAAAACTCCCCGCCTCTGTCCGAGTGCAGACGCAGAGCAGGAAGGTCTGAGCCGAAACTCTCACTGAGCTGGCGACGAGCACCGCGGATCCAGTCGATCAACACCTCAGGGACCTGACCCTTGCTGCGCAAGGGGAAGACTGTGGTGTAACGCGAGTAGTCGTCAACGACCAGCAGGAAGTAGCGATCGTGACCCTGTCCACGGACGCGGGCTGGGCCCCACACGTCCATGTGAAGAGTCTGCAGAGGAGCCTCAGTCGGAGGAAACGAGGAGGAGTGAGGGGCGGCGCGCTGCCGGCCCTCGACACAAGGAACACAGGTGGGGGCAGGCCCCGGAGAAAGGGGAGGGATGGACCTGGGTAGACCCGAGACAAGGGCACGGGAGGCCATGCCTCGAAGACGAGGCAGGGAGGGGTGACCAAGGCGGTGGTGCCAAAGGAGAGTCTCGTGTGCCAAAGGACGACACGAGCAGGGGGCAGACGCAGGACTAGACCTGGACGCGGCAGCAAACACCTGACTGGACGCAGCTACCTGACCAGACGCAGAGACCGGAGGAGGCGCAGTAGTCAGTGTGTACAGACTCGACCCTGGCCGACGGGTGAACGTGGCCAGGTGACGGCCCGTCCGAGAGCAAGTGCAATGGGTCACACGCTGACCTCCAGGGGTGAACTGGTCAACCCACGCATCCTGGAGGTCAGCTCCACTCACCAGGTTCATAGAGAACGAGGGGAGGTGGAGTCCCGACAGCAAGCCCGACGGGGCCGCAGGACACGGTAGGACAGTGGAGGAGTGTGCAAGTACTGGGCCCCCTGAGGGAACAGCAAGGGAGACCGCAACAGGCCGACTGAGCGGCGTGAGCGTGGTGCTGTCTCTAAAGAAAGAGCGCGAAGCACCAGAGTCAATTGTGAAAGTGTGAAAGGACTCAGTAGGTGCAGTACCTGAGAGAGGAGACGTACCAGCACCTGGAGCAGCAGACGCACTAGCACCTAGAGCAGCAGCCGCACTAGCACCTAGAGCAGCAGCCACAGTGCCCGGGTCGGGCGGGACACGCAGGTAGCAGTCACCCTCAGTAATATCAGCAAGAGCATACATGGCAGCAAGGATAGCATCAAAGTCTAGATCAAAGATAGGCACATTCTGCAGAAGCAGATCATGCCAACGAGGAAGCTCAACAGCGTCAGGAAACTGGGTACGCCAAGCGTCAGTCAAGCGGCCGAAGCAGCGCTGCGTGGTGTGTGGGAGACCACACACCTCCCCACTACGAGTGCCTGTGCGAAGAAC